ATTCAAAACTGCCCCTCTACATACGCAGTGAGTGCAAAACTCATTATCAAATTTTGAAGACCATTGCTTTTCTCCTACACCTTATCTCACATTCCTCGGTACACTCGTACAAGATAAAACTGATCCCTTATGCTAAGTTTGCAAAACCTCCACTTAATTTGCATATTTTTGGCACAAGGTGGCATATAGTGGATGGTGTTTCGAAACACAGGTTGCTTGAAAGCTCCGTAAAGTTGGCTTCACCTGCGAAAATCCTAGGAATGTTCGGAAGCGAACGTTCTAAGAATGGTGCACATATGAATGTTCAAAGGGGAACGTTCCGAGAACATTGTGCATACGAATGTTCGCCAACAAACGTTTTTAGAATGTTGAGCAGCTTACCTTGTAAGGAATGTTCGCATACGAACGTTCCTAGAACGTTCCGAATGGCGTTTAACGTTCCTTCAACATTCAGAACACCCAGGGAATGTTCGCACGACATTGGATGCTACGTGGGATATACGCCAGCTTTTCAGCCAGGCGATTTCGTACGCGTGAAGTTGCCAGGTCATCACGCCAAGGGGAGTTTGAGATTCTCCAAGCCACGGCAAGATACTGGACCGTCGACGATCTAATGCATTCCTGCGCGACGATTACAAGGTGTGGGATGCAAGTAAACTCTCAAAAATACCACAAGAAGTCCAGCCACGACTTACTTCGAAGGCAGACAACGGGCTGTCACCTGCCACTTCGTGGAATCCTCCACCAAACACGCTCCACCCACACAAGGTTTCCCCGGCGGGAGACCGACCGGAACTGAAATCATTGTCAAATGGTACAGACACTCACCGACAAGAACTTCAACTCCAAGCTCTTCGCCGGAGTTGCAGACAACGAAAACCTCCGGAAAGACTAGGAAGTTATGTGACATGAACATTGCCACATAGGTACTCGGGTTTTCGTTGACTCGACAACTTTGTTTGTTTAGATGCTTCTTTTCTGCTTTTGTTGTTTTAATCGATACATTCCCTTTATAAAACGGGAGAAATGTAGTGTATAAAGGAAAGAAAGACTAAGCAGAAATTAGATAATAAAGGAAGAAGACGATGAAAGGCGTACAAATGAATTGGCGTTCCTTCATCTTACGTTCAACTTCACTAGAGCCATGTTGCTGTTGGTGTTCTGTCCAATCTTGTTCGGTTCAAGTTCTGCGAATGTTGCCTTGATTGTTTGTTTAATAAATTTCCTTGCCTCCTCGCCCTCTACACTTATACCCTCGTGTGTGGTCAATGAACAATGGAACCGTTGTGTTTTTCTCCCCAGTGCATTAACGTGCTCCCTAAACCTTTTTGCTGCATTCCCTACATTCTGATTTACATCCATCATTCACTGCACTCCAGCTCTACCGATCTTGGTCTGGATTAAAGCAGATGGCTCTCTTTTTTGTTCCTGAAATGTACTCCATTTCGATGCTACCTGAGTGGGTGTGTCCCCCCTTTTCTTCGCCAATCTGTGTTCCCTTGAGGCCTTTTGTCGCCATGCTATGGCCACCTTAGCCTCACTGTCCCGCCAGTTTTTTGGTGTGTGTTTCCCACTCCTTCTTCCTTTTTGTTTGATTTTGAACTTCTCTAACTCTCTTTTAAAAGTGTTTACCAAATCGTCATATGTCGATTCTCTCTCGCTCAAGAATTTGTGTCTCTGGTTCTCCACTCTTTATTTTAAGTCGCTTAAGGGGTATTCACACGAGGCACACGTTCATCACGAGACGAAAACGCGAGACTTTTGCACATCGCAAAGCCTGACGTTTTTGTCGTGGGATGCGCGTGCCGGGGAGAAATCCCCGGGATTTCTCCCTCGTGTGAATACCCCTTTACGATCACTTGCTAAGCTTTTCGTGCCTTCCTCGTCTATTTGCATGTGTCCTAATTTGCTGGACAATTTGCGAGACATTAGAGAGTGATCAATAGACCCTTTCCGGAATTCAGTGCCATCTGGTGACTCAAATGGCAGTTTATCTTTTACTATACTAATGGCGGCAATGAACCTTTGGTCTGCAGTATTTAATGGGGCACCATCACTTAAAGGTCAACAATAAACGAGAATGTGCACTTCACTACAATTATTTTTCAATCTCTTTTAGTGTCAATGGCGAAACAAATGCAGCCAGTCGGAACGAAGCACCAACCCACATAGACGCCTTGATAGAGTCCTATACATCAAGGGGCTTTGAGTCCGAGTGAGTGCTACTAACAGATTGACTGGGCCCGAGTTAGGAATGAACGCATACGCAGCTCTTTCGTCCAATTCCTGCTTCACGCCGCGCTAACATCTAGAATGTATAGGCCTCGAATCATCTGCTTAGGAGCGTCTTCAACTTCTTCTTTCATCAGTAAACAGAAGGCCGCCATTAGTATAGCACATATGCCGTTTTCAGATGATGATGATAGTGATCAAAGTGGCCAGACTGAATTCCGGAAAGGGTCTATTGTCGAGTGCAAATTGTTTCTTTCTCGCATTATTTTTTTCGTCGCATTTTACTCTGAATTAGAACAAGAGCATCGCGAAATTCTTGTAGAATCCTCCCCGTAGCATCGATGTATATCCGTCGAAGTCGTCTAAACGTTCTTTCATGTCTCCTAAGATAATTATCTCCAGATTAGTGACAATTTCTCCAACATCTTTGGAAATGCACATTAAGTGCTGTGCATTTTCCTCTCTTGAATCAGTTCCTGTTTCAAGATAGAAAAATCCTATGAGCGTCGTCTCTAAACCTCCGATATTACCTCTTACCAACATATGTTCCCTGCAGGTTTCCCTCTCCCTTTCCCAGCCCTGTCCTTTCACTAGCACTCCCAATCCGCCTCTTTTCCGTTCCCCTTCACATCGATTGCATCCCACCCAAAAATAACCTGCCGAGTAGGGTGTTTCCTCCATATCCCTAAAACGCGTCTCTGCCAATTCATACACTACAAAATCTTCATCATTTAACTGTTCCGCACTCTCTTCCCACTTTATTCTATTTCTACCCCCCCCCCCCCCCCCCCTGCACGTTTATAAATCCCAGCAACCTTGGCCCCGAGTGGTTGCCACTTCTTGAGGGTTTTGCTAACTTCACATAATTTTTGCGTTCTTTTGCGTCAGCCAGGTGAGCTGATGGCTTTTAACCCTTTATTTTGAGTGTGTGTTGTTGCCTTGTCACTGTCCAAATCAAGCAGTAAAAAGAAAGTGGCGTATCTCACTTATAATGTTTCCGCTTGGCATGCAACGGACCCAGGTTCGATACACGCGGGTGGCGGGCGATCTTTTTTGAGAATTCGCCAACGTCGACGACGGACGCCCTACATCGACAACAACTACTACAACTACATCAACAACTGCGACACCAACAACGGACGTCATTTCCGTTGATGAAAATAGCCCAAAACAGCTCTCGCTGTAAAAATTGAGCGATACTGTGTTAATCCACAGTACGATCCCCCAGCGATAGCTGCTGCATGTCTCGGCGAACTCGTTGGGAATCGGCGTCAGGTTCAAGCACCGTGGAGTGCGTGAACAAGAGCGTTGTGAACAAAATAGCCCCCTGTTTTGTTCCGAACGTATTTTGCTTAGTTACATTTTGTTTCCAAAAGCCCTTGTTTTTTTGTTTTTTTTTGTGCGTTTTCTTTTCTTTTTTTTTTTTTTTTTTGTTCCCAAGCGTGCAAAAGTGCGTCTTTCGGCACGAGCTCTTGGCATTGGCAGTGCTGCAACGGCATGCTGTTATCTGTTCCTTTTTTTTTTTTTTTTTTTCTAGAGAGCATGTGCAGTGGGTAATCGCTGTTAAAAAGGGAATTTGCATAGAATCCTAGGTGAAAACAACTCGTATTTAGGTTGGGGTTATTTTTTTAATTTGCTTCATGAATTAGAATACTGTGGGATACGTGGTATCGCGTTGAAGCTTATAAGATCACTCTTGAAAAACCGATTTGATTGCGTGAAAAAAATAATAGGGAACTCTAATCCTTTGGAAAGTAAGTATAGTGTCCCTCGTGGCCCTACTCTGTGTCCTGTGCCCTTCCTTGTAGGGGGTGTTGTTGTTTTTGTCAATCCAAAATAAAAATAATAAAAAAATCTGGCGCTAGCTTTTTTTTTTTTTTGTGTGTGTGTGTGTGTGTGTGTGTGTGTAATGGCAGGATTTACAAACAAAACCTTCCTCGTCTCCCAAACACATCCAATGCCACTGCTCGCGTCTGTACGGACTCCACTGATGCGTAACAACAAGGCTTTAGTACTGGGTTTTGCATCTCAGCCACAGTGGGCCACTACTGCAGTGAAGTAGGAATTCTACGTACACGTTCAGCTGGGTGCCACGCTGTACAGTATGTGTATGTACAGCGTACATACAGGGAAAGCTCGCGCTGGAGAACCCAGGATCCTCGGTTCAATCCCCATCCCTGCCCGCTTCGATCTAGATGAGTATCGTACTGGCGTAAGATCGCGTAAAACTACTTTGTGCACGCTAAAGATCCCAGGTTAGTGGTTGCACTGCACTGGCTAAATTTCTCATCTCCAGCTGAGACACCAGCCGCCCACTGAGGCACACTAACAACAATTTACCTTACATCGAGAGGCTCTCCAGTCAAAGCTGCGGCATTGCCATCGAAAAAGAAATTTACTCAACTTTGACTCCAGTCTCCTTCTTTCTTTCGCCTCTTTTAGTTAGTGCATAAATCATTCAAAAGCAAAGAGCTGGGAGAGGTTGTTTCGGCTTAGGTTGCGAAACCGAAACGACCGCGCGCTCTTTACGCGTCGGCGATAGTTCGCGAGTTGGTAAGTGGCGCCATCTATCAAATATTATCGCAGACTCAGTGAAACAGACTCGCAGCTTAGGAAAAAAAAGGGCAAAAATAAAATTAACCTAATTTATTACATTAAAACGTTTTTTTAAGTTAAAACATTACTAACATTTATTTAAATCGTTATTTAATATTATTTGTATGTCTTTAATAGCACGTTAAAAATGCCACAAACAACACAAACAAAAACTTCACTGCGGGTCTCACCTCTCCGAAATGGCGGCCGAAGGCGACAAGAAAGCTTCTAAAAAAGACGAAATGAAGCGTCAGTCTCAGGAACAGGGCATCGTAGATGGTTTTAATCAATTGCGACAAGAACAGCGTTCCTTAACAGCCAAACTGGTCGAGCTCGAGATGGATCTCAACGAGCACAAGTAAGTTTCCGTTGGTCCGACGCCCGGTCAAGTAATAGCGGCGTGCGTCTGACAAAAGCGTGTGGTGGTCTCGCGTCATTTGCTTGGTCCTACCGTCGCAAAGCCTTCCCTTTTTTGTTTTCATAAATAAATATTAGGACATCTTGTGATCCGCACATATTCTCGAAGCAATATCCGATAATTTCGCGGCTAGGACATAGTTTCAGTAAAGCGTGGGCAGACGTTGAGACGTGTTGTCAGGCGCGTTTGGGCCGGGGTGTCGAATTCGCGGTGTAGTTAATTAACACAAATAGAATTTTAGTGAGTGTCCGTCACACCCACTCGCTGAATGGCACATGGCTTATTTTTGTGTTTTCCGTGAGACACTAGAAACAAGAATGGTAACTACTTTTATCTGATGTGTGGGCGTCGGGCGAGGCAAACTTGCGGAGTCTACGACGTTTCTGTCATCTGTCCGGTATCTTCTGTGCCCTACACGGAAAAAGTGTACCGGGTGTTTTTGGAGAAAATAGAACCTCGCTTTTCTCACCTAGAAAGTAAGCCATTGATAGTTGAACGCTCAGTCTCGCTGAATGTAGTACGAGGGGAATCGCCGAGTACCGGAATTCCGATCGGCACATTCATCTGAAGCAGGGGCGTAGCAGGGGGAAAGGGGGGGGGGGGGGGGGGAAGGGGGGTTATTGGGCTTCCCCCTTATCCCCAAATCCAGCCGACTGTATCATAAACACAAACATTTTGACCCCCCCCCCCCCCCCCCCTCCCTCCCTCCCTGCTAAGCCCTTTGCTTCAGAGGGATGTGCCCATTTGAATGCCAGGTTTCGGGAATACATATAATATCATGACTTGAATTAGTTGAATTGTGCAAAAGCTCGTCGGCCTTAGTCTTCCGGCTTCATACATTTTGGTAAAAAACGCCAAGTTTGTTCCATATGAACGGTTTCTACTCCGTCATCAGTGTGAACACGTGACTTGTCCAGCCAACCAAAGAATTGAGGGAAAATGCTACCTTCAGGCCACACCTCGAATTTGTTAATTGCATCGAAAACTGACTCGTCACCCGGGATGTGGAAGGAAGAGTATGTGTCAAATCGTGTAAACATTTTTAAACACAAGACCTGCCTTCCCACTACAAAAGGCTCGATAAGCGCAAAAACATTTCCACACTTGTATCTGGATCTACCCTTGATACAAAAAGTTCTAAACGACGATTCTTCCGAGGGACAGCGGTCACCTTACTCGGTTTAGCCGTTCCAGCTGGCGGCTTGGTTTGCCGTTGGGGCCTTACCATGGTGTAGCCGTCGTCCACAGCGTCCTCCCCACCCGCAGCTCTCGCACCCTTCGAGGAACTCGACTCCAAGCCCAGCCCACCCTGAGTCGTCCCTGGAACTGCATTGGGAAGCGAATTTGCAGCTCAAGATCTCAACATTGACGTTGGCGCAGCAGGCGGCAGTGCTGCGACGGATGCGTACACGGTTGATGAAGAAGACGGAGGCAGCATTCGTTCATGGTCACTTTTACGGAGATAAAGCACTTCGTAGCGAAGGCTGTTGCTGTCCGCCCTAAGGCACTTGAGCTCTGTCGTAACTATATCCAGTTTGCTTGATAGGCTTTTGATGAGGCGTAGCAGAGCGGGTGGAACGGAGCCGTCATCAAGTGTCACATTTGGTGGTTCGACAAACGCCACAGGAGCGGGAACTACCCCTCCGGTACCAGCAGCGGCGTCGTTCCCCGGTGACACACTGCTCCTTCGGGCGCAGCCCGAGCACCTGAAAGCGTTCGTGCCACTCTTCATGTAGAAGTTGTACTCTTCATGGGCGACGTTCAAGCACTTACAGCGGAAACACCGATTGCAACCTGCTGAGCAGACAAGAAACTGCTGCTTTACATGGAAGCGAGCCTCGCACGAGCCACATACGTCTTTTTGCGTATGTCTCCTGTCCGGCGTCATTCTGCAGAATGGCGCAGGACGCTATGTTTTGTGTGTTCCACGATTAAATCAGTCTCTTGTTATGTTTTCCGCTTCTACCGGCTTCTTGAACTGCTGTAATGTTTTGCAATTGCCTGGGCAATTTTTCTGTGATTGATATTCGCTAATTAAAATATGCGACGACCTGTGACTCCGCGATTGTCGAGTGCGGACAGTCTCTGTCACGCACACGTCGGTATTACCCTCGGCACAAGGATCGCTTAATTTTGAAATCAAAGAGGCACACATCCGACTTTTCTGGACAGCAAAGGAACTTCATAGATCGAATTACACTTGAGTTCTTATGCAAATAAAGGATTGTTTGAAATATTTATTATTAGCTCAAATCTGATTTTATATTTTAGCCTGAATCTAGGTTTTCATAGCACAGACCACTGACACAGACCGATTTGGTACCATATAAAATAATTAAAAAATTTAAAAAATAATGTTTATCTCTTCTTTTTTTTTGAACTTCGAGCAGAATTTTCATTGACATTAATTTTCGGGTGCATGCATGCTTGTGAACAGGCAGTTTATGTTGTAGTCCTAAACAAGCTCCAGCTTGTTTAGGACTATAGATAGATTTAAAAGAAAAAAATAAAAAGGATGAAAACAAAGTTTGAGAGTTTGTGTCAGCGGTGGACTTAGTTTACCGCTGACAGGACCACTTGGAACCAAACCTGGGGGTATGTTCCACATCAATTTCAGAAATGTCGATTTCAAAGTCAATCTTCGCATCTAATAAAGCGTCTGTTCATGACATGATTGAAGCTAGACGTGAAACATACTGTAGCATGAAACCACTGGTACCATCCTTTTGACTTTATTGCTCGCCCACGCCGTCAAACGCAACAGCACTCATGTGTGTCTGCCCAAACAGAACAGTTTGAGCAAACGGGATATGTCCCCAGGAGTGTCGCGTGATTGTAACAAGTCGGGCATGACACTAGTTTTCTTGCCTTATTGCCTGGGTTCTAGAATCTAAAACAGCCTTTTGACATCTGCTTCTGCAACTGTATCCACGTGAATATCATTCACTGGATTGCTATGGTAGGTCGATGTTACAGTCACGACATCTCAAATCATCATTGAAAACACTCTGCTTCTTTTCGCAGAGAATGAGTGGTGCAATTCAGTGGCGTCACAAGTGGGGGGGGACCGCCTCGGGTGCTTTGCTTCGGGGGGTGTCACGGCAGACAACGAAGAGGGGCAGGCGACAACTAGGTGGGGGAGGGGGGGGGGGGGGATTGTGAAGGTCCACTGCCCCGGGTGCTGCTGCCCCTAGTGACGCCACTGGCGCAATTGTACGCACTGCGGCGGCTTTATCCCCATCACAATATATTTACTTTCCGTCAAAAACACACCGCTCACTTTTTCCGGGGCACAATCGAGCACGAGTGGCACAATCCTTCACACCCTCTTTCCACTACATTTGACAGGCATAGTATAGTTCAGCTTTGGCCAGCTGGAACTCTCATGGCAACAACGCGCAGTTGGCGAAGCGATGTTGTGCTCGCACATGCTCTCATACACGAAAAACACGAAACAATTACATGTCTCGGTTGATTTGTGGGCATCTAACTTGTTAAATGTCTCCCATGCACACAAGTTTCCGCTGGGATGTTAGGTAGGGCCACACAACTTTTGCCGCGGAGGCCAAATAAAATGAGAGACGGTGCTTTTTCTCGGCACCGTATGTTCCAGAAACGCACATCGAGGTATCCTATGTCCAGTTTTTGAGGTATCTTTTTCATTTCATTTAATTTCATTTAATATACCCTTATAAGTGCCCGGTAGGGGCTCTACATAAGGGGGGGGGGGGCAAAAACAACAATACAGATACAGGTCTACAAGAGCCAGGAATCTTTCCCTCCTTCCGCTCTTTTTTTACATATTGTCGAGAGTGGCAATTGTGGAACGAAATTTAATGGACTCTTTTACTGTTATGATGTAGTCGGGGAGGGAATTCCAGTCCGATATAGATAACTGCAAGGGAGAAAATTTGAAAGTGTTAGTTCTAGGAGTGGCAAGCTGAATTTTTTGTGAGCTGTCTCTGCGTGGCTAGCAGCTAGGCAATATTTTCCTTTCTTTGAGGGTGAATGATAGTACAGGTGATGAAGAGCAGTTAGTTGAGTTGTTTTACGTCGGTCAGCAAAAAGGGATATATTAGTTTGTTGTACGTATTAGTGTTATACTTGTGTGGGTATAATTGCGGAGAACGAAGCGAGTGGCTCGGTTTTGAATGGCTTCTAACTTGTTATTAAGATATGACTGATGCGGGTTCCAGATGAAAGATGCATATTCCAGCTTGGGACGCAGAAGAGATGTGTATGCAATCAGTTTTGTTTCCAGTTTTGCCAGGTGTAAGTGATGTCTTAGAAAGCCTGAAGTTTGATTAGCCTTTGCCGTGACATGGTTAATATGTGGTTCCCATGAAACGTTCGGCGTGAAATGAAGTCCAAGATATTTATATGTATGAACATTTTCAATGGAGACACTGAAAAGGGTGTAGTTAAATTGTGTTTGTGATTTTTCGCCGAGAATTTCTTAAAAGATGCACTGCTCATCCTTGCTCATTGAAACATACACAAGAAGCTGGTTAACTGGAGGTTATCTTGGCCACAGGAAGTTCCACTATTACTTGTTTATGATTACCTTGGAATACCATGTATAGCCTGCAGGGGCAACTTTTGGCAAATAAAAAAATAGGTGTTCTTAAATAGTCTGTACCTGGTGCATAGTTCGTGCTAGGGGTTTTCTTCATCTATGCTCTATGCCTGCTAAAAAATTATAAATCGGTAGTTCCCTATCGAATTGCACTTCTCATAAAACAATATGAATGTAAATTTGTCTTTTCATTGTTCTTACTGTTTTAAAACTTTGTATTGTTTATTAAAATTAAATTCAATGTGAACTCTCATCTTTATTTGGATGTACCTTGCTGTTTTACACACCCCACAGTGGACATATTTACTTGTAGTAATAATTGTACCACTGCAGGCAGTGGGCGTTAATATCATGAAGATCTAGC